CTTCATGGAATAATACTGCAAGATATGCTTCATTCAGACATAATAGAATTGTCACAACATAAGCAGAACTGTAAATGCATCAAATGTAAATAAATAATTATAATAATAATAAACGTATAAAGCATTTGTTTCCACTTAAAAACGAATTGGTCCGTTTCTCAAATTTTCTCAAGATTTTGTTTCTGTTTTATTCAAATAACGTATACTTTTTTATACATTTTTCTGAATAATGCCCATTGAATAACCTTATAGAGATTAAATATGCTATTACCTGTTGACTCAAAGAAACACTCTGACAAGGATAGAAATATTTAGTAAGGATATTTACACACTCATAAACAATGGGGCTTTTCTTAATGATCTGACTAGAAAACATTTCTGTATTTCAGTTTTAACGGCATCATTTTATTGGAAATATACGGATTATTGCATTTATATTGTTCTTAAAACACAAATACAATTAAGATGACAATATAAAGGTTTATTTCACAATCTGTTGACTTTACAGTAAGTGCTACTGGTTTAAAAATAAATAAATGAGCTTTTAACATGTTTCCTTTTGTCTAAATGCCAAATAAATAAATAGGCCATGAAAATAAGACATTTGTAGCCTATCCTTTGTCTACATGTGTCACAGCCTAAGCATTCTTTATAGTTACTCAGCATGTTATTGGCGTTGTATTACTTGTTGTAGAATGGCAAAGCCTCGGTGAAGAGTGTGACAACAGTGGATGTGTCTGCATCTGCGTAACGCGAGCCGAACGAACAAAACCTTTTCATCTGCAGGTATTGCGCGTGTGGCTCAACGTGAGACAAGTACAGAAAACACACAGAACATCCATCCTGGACGTCCATTCATTCATTAGGTTTCTGATGATGACTCGTCTTCTCTCCTTGAAGACACAACCATAAGACCAACAGATCATGTGTGCAATGATTTTCCCAAGTAATAACTTTCTTCAACAATACAAACATCATATAATAATCAGTAGTCCGTGTAAATGAAAATATGAATAGGCCTACTAGTACACTCAAATTATTAATTGTAAGGCTACATTTAGGTAGCCTACTAAAGTGTTAACAAAACTTAAAAAAAAAAAAAAAAATCTTACCGTGTCATTCAGGGAATCAGTGGGGTTTTAATAGTAGCGCTAATGCACACTGACCTGAGGCCTTCGGCTTTACATAGCGGAGTCGGTGTATTTAGTGTGCACGCGGGTAAATGCATTGATCTGCTCTCTGTCTTCAGCGCGCGGAGCTCTGTCCTGGACACCTGTCACACGGCACTTTCCTCTCATCCGATATTGACACAGGGAGTCAAATGGGAGGGCCAGAGTAGATTACTTCTATTATGTCAATCATGTCGCTCTGAGCAAACCGACCTCGCGTTTCGTCGAGATAAAAATCGGGGAGACATCTGGAGCGCATGAGATCATACAAAGGTGACCCCTTAAACCTGCGCTCTCCTGAAGCTGAACGATTCATAAATATAATCAGAGCATTAAATGGTAGCCTATAAATATACACTTTTGCTAATTGCTTGCTCAGCTCATGCTATTTTTATGTATTTCTTTATTTTTGCTCTTCGTACAAGGAAAAGGGGAAACAAAGTTAAAATGAGGTCAAGGAAACTGCATATATATACATTTATATCCTTACAAATTATACAATAATAAGATAAATATTAACCTTTTGTTTTAAATGTGGTATACAGCATGTCTCACTGCTGTTAATGACATTAAACCACAACACATCTGCCAAAGAAAAGCAGGAGACAATGACTGACAGAAATAATAACTTAAGGCTATATTTTCAAATATATGCTTAACATTTAATTATAACGTTATTGTGCAGTCGTTTTTATTTATCATTTAAACACTTTAGTTGCAGCAACAGCCATTAAATAGCTGATGTTTTTCTGCCCCCTACTGGATTTGACAAAAGATAACAAGTAGAGACTTTCTAAATGTATTTTTGGCTTTGGCAAAGGTTGCAAGACCTTAGTTACTTAATACATACTTAAGGCAGTAGAGAAATTAGTTGTCACGGGGGATATCAAAATACAAATCAATACAGGTCAGTGTTATTTTAGTATCATTAAGATACTATTACAGCATTTATTAATATTTGAATTAATTTTTATATTTTCCATTTTAATTTGAGTAATGGTGTTTAAAAAAATGTCTCTATAGTTTTTAGTAATTTTTATTTCAGTTTGAGATATTTTAGTACATTAGTGCATTTAGTTAAACTAAATGAAAATCAGAAATGTCATGTTTGCAACAAGCTAAATAAGTTTTTTTATATATACACAGTCAATGATTAGCAATTGTGTTTGTCATTGTTAGAAGTTTTCTCCTTAAAGAAAATAAGTCTGTACAGTTTTTAGTCATTTTTGTTTCAGTTTTAGATATTAGTACATAAGTTAAACAAAATGAAAAATGTTGCCTTTGCAACTACCCGAAATGTTCAAGTTTTTTTCCCACTCTAATCAAAAATGTAATTAAAGTTTTAGTAGTGTTTCTCTCTCTCTTATTTGAATGTCTACAGATTTTAGTCATTTTTATTTCAGTTTAGTTATTTTAGGACATCAAGCTAAAGTAAAGGAATGTTGCTCTTGCAACTAGCTTAAATAAAATACATTTAGGTTTTTAAAATGTATTTCAGTTAATGTTTATTTTACTTCAAGAAATGAAAACTTTATGGTTTTAAGTGACTATAATAATACAGATTCACACTGCAAATCACACTATGAAAAATGATCCAAATGATTAACAAAAGACATAAATATATGGGCACAGTTTAATCGCATGACATTCCATTTAGTCGATGAGCAAGTGTCCAAATTGATTTTGTATTCATTTTGAATATCAAATCTAACACTAAATAAATAGCCTAACAAGATTTTTTTGTGAACGGTTTTACAGTTGTGCCCTCTTTTTGAACAAATACTGCTTGGTTTGAAATGTTGCTACCTAGCACAGTTTTTAAATGTGTGTTAAGTGTCCAAATACTTAACAGGGGGTGGAGGGGTCGATTATACAATAAATCGATTACTGATAGTTAAATAGTTAGTTAAATTTGCATTATTTTACCATAGTCCTTTGCCTCCTTTCGTCGAATAAGCATGGGATATTGTTTGGTAGAGCAGATGATGGTGGCCAGAGGAAGAGCTGTGTAAGGGACACCACACACACTATCAAACTCCACTCCTGCATCCTCAGCACGCTTATGAAGAAGATTTGCCACCTGATCTCACACACACACAAATAATATGATATTAACATATGACCAACAAATGAGATTAATCTAAAGGAGCATTTTTCACTTCTTGAGACTTGTTTTATAAAACAGTTTTGATAGGAAAACGCTCAGGATATGTTACACACTTTTGGCATAACGGTACAGAATCATTACTCAAAGTGAGCACGTGCTTACCTGGTTCATCAACGCTGGATGGGAAACTATTACTCTAAGATCAAAATATATCGGCGAAGTCAGTCCACTTTTTAGCTTAAAAGTCCCAAACTTGACTGCTTGGATGTCGTGCAGATTCAGGATTAAACTATCCAGACTAACGTTAGTGTCATCCATTTCGATTTGAGCAGCCATGTTTCGCTAACTAGGGTAAAGTGCGGGTAACGTTAGAGAGTTCTTCCGTTGCTCGGATCACTGGAGACGCACACTCACAGCGCACACACATAACACCAGGTTCACATTACTCCGTTTGCAGTGCATATGGTGTGTATTTTTTCCACGCTCATGTTAACGGATTAAGCGTTCACTGCACACGGTTGCGGTCCGGCAGTGCGATCCAGGAGCAGTGCATCTGCAGCAGTGCAGAGATCGTTCAGCACCGAGTCTATTGCTGAATTAAAGTAACAGCTCATTGTTTGCAGTAAATATGAACATAGATTCACACGAAAATTTAGTAATTACACCATAAATGTATATTATTAAAGTCTACGGTGTTTCACAGTCAACGCATATGGCTTTTTAGCTAGGTTTAAAGGGAAAGAGCACTTTTAGATAGGGCAATAATAGATGGCACTCGTGGAGGTAGGAAAACAAAGTTCTTTATGAACAGAAGGATTGCTTGTAATAAAGATTTCAATGCAAAAGGAAAGGCAGTAGAGCTGACTGTTTCTGGCAATGGTAAGTTTGTGATAACGTAAGAAAAGTAGTTTAAATGTTTTGCCACTTGCTTGAGCAACTTAATATATAAATCTAGAATTAAATGCAAAAGTAAAAAGCATCGAATAACGTGTTGCTTATATTTGTGTTTAAACATGTCTGTGAAAGATTGTATTACTGTACTGTGTAAAATAAGAATTGCAATGCTGAAAAAGCATTTTCAGTGACAATGTTTGGATTTGAAATCAAAATAATGGATAAATGTTGTGATTGTGGTAAACGGCCACGGATCAGTAGCAGACTCCTGTGGGAAAGCTGCTTCCCCTCTCACAAGACACCTAAGAGGGGAATTCCCCCCCATTTTCAAAAATGAAAGTCAGGCCCTGAATACATTTCTAAAAATCCCGATTGGAGTATCACTATAAATAGTTATAAATGATAAAAAAAGAAGGCTTTAAAAAGATTGGTATCGGCGGATACTGCTTTCTGTGTTCGGCCTCAAAAATCCTGATCGGAGCACCCCTAGTATATTTATTATGTATATATAAACACACACACATGCATGTATACATTTAAGAAAAATGTGTTACATTTATATATTAAATATATTTTTATATAATATAAATTATAAGAATATAAATATATACAAGTAAATATTTTCAAAATATATGCTGTATGTGTGTGTGTGTGTATTTATATATGCATAATAAATATACACAGTACACATATTATGTAAACAGAAACTTTTATTTTGGATGCGATTAATCATTTGACAGCACTTATATATATATATATATAAACTAATACAATTGACAAAAAAAACCCCTAAACATTAAACTAAACACACTACACATTTCATTTATGATTTAAAAAAAAAGTGAGTGTGCGGTCTGACTTTGTGCTATGCTGGTTGTGTGTCCACTAGGTGGCGGTAATACATTCCGCCTGCTGAAATCTCTCTATGACAACAAGCTGGTAACTGAGATTAGAAATAGAGTTTTAGAGGTGAGTTCGTGTCTGTTAATCAAAGTCTAAAATACAGTGTAATTGCCTATAACAGGTGTAGTTGTTTATTTTAGGATGGGATACCTTACATGGGATCAAGTGCAGGTACCAATGTCTCCACCATCAGCATCAACACCACCAATGACATGCCCATCGTCTATCCACCCACATTTGCTGCCATTGGTTTAGTGCCCTTCAACATTAACCCTCACTATGTGGATGCTGATCCCAACAGCAAGCATATGGGGGTACGTTCAAATGATCATGCACAACACCACAACTCCATTAAGTAATATTATATGCATAAAATCACCCCAAAACATGTATTTTACATAATTTGATTGCCATGAAAAAAAATAATGAAACTTATCGAATATATCAAATATAATAAACCAAAGTTTTCAGGTAGATCCTTCAGGCTTCATGAACGCAGATTTGATTTTGCATTTTACAGGAAACACGTGAACAGAGAATTGTCCAATACCACGAGGAGCCCGACACACCATGTGTGCTGGTATGTTAACATGTACAATACTGTTGGGGTCAGTGAGACAATTTAATGCTCAATATAGCTGCATTTATTTGATCAATATTACAGCAAAAACAGTAATATTCTGAAATTAAAAGAACGAACCGTTTTCTCTTTGCATATATTTTCAAATGTAATTTCCAGCAGTAGTTGAGCTCTACCACTATATGCTGTTCATGGCAGGGTCTTCGGGAAGGCTCAATGCTCATAGTGGAGGGAAGCAAAGCCACCTTATTAGGGAGCACCAAAGCACGACTGTTCCAGAGGTAATGCAGAGACTCTTGCTCACGCACATGGAAAATATAACAGGAAAAAAATGATCCCAAATAGACACAGTGAGACTGTGGATTTCTTTCTCAGGGGGAAGCATACTACGGAGTATGAACCGGGCAGTGATCTCAGCTTCTTACTGACAGATGCACAGTGAGCTGCTACATTATGTGCAATGCAAACATTTTTACAATAAATGATAAAATCCACAATTAAGTTTTTGTTTCTTCATTTCCTTCATCATAAGCAGTTTTGTTTAGAGTACACAAAAACAAAAACTATGGAAGCACTGTAGAATTTAAAGATGATTATTCTTGTATTTAAAGCCTGCAGTTGGTTATTCATCAACCAGACAATTGTTAACAGCTAAACATATCCTGTGAGGTCAAGTTCATCACTGTAGATTAGAAAATGGTGTTATGATAACAGGACCTTTGGACAGCAAAAATAGGTACTAAATTCAAGTCCAGCTATATTCATAAATAGGATCAACTACCAAAATAAAAAGAAATGCAACTACATCAGTATATTTGTTTATTGAATTACAGAAGCATTAACAACATATTGCTAAACAAAATCGTGGGAAAAAAAGAAAAGAAAAGTCAAAAATAAAGTCAAGAGTCAGTGATCATTTTTAAACATGGTAGATTCTCAAAAATACATATTTTTGTTGCTATAATTATGTTCTATTAATTTTTTTTTGACAAACTTTACAAACAAATGAGAATATATTCTGTATCATTTTAATTGTGGAAAATGCATAATTTTGATTGAATTATAAATGCATACAATTTTTCATTTAGACAACATACTTATGGCAACCCAATATGGGTAAATTCATATGGGCAGCAGCATTACTATAATACAGTAACATAAGAAATCCAGGTTTTTTTACCCCCAGTGTTATGGGTTATGTATTTCAGTATATCTGAAGTCAAAATTAAGACCAGTAACTATGAACCACAACCTTTAATCCACAGAATCATTAATTAATTAACCGTTTTCAGTATAACAATTTAAAAAAGGCCAATATTGTTCCAGCCTCAGTTTTCTAAATTTAGATGTTTTTCCATACCATCAAACTGTTTTATTTTTATCAATTAATATTAATCCGGATACATCACACTAAATGGATTTTTTCTATTCTAATCAAAATGTATTTGGGTAAAATAGATCTTTAAAAAACAGACTAGTGTTTCATCTATAAAAATACTTTTGACCAAGAGGAATATTAAAACTAAAGGCGAGTTAAAACATTATAATAAAGGTGCTCTGTCCATAAGGTGTAGTTTTCAAAATACAAAAATGCTACCATTTTATTGCTCTACTGTGCAAAGATATTATTGTTTCTTTTTATAATACAAATTCAACCAAATGCTCTAAACGCACAAACACAACCCTGCTCTAAAATAATGTGTTTACAGTAGACAAAAATAAGAATATTTTCTTAAAAGAATACACCTTACGCCCCAAATAAGAAATCAAATCCCTACAGCTGAAACAATTGCAAAGAAAACAGATAAGAACTGAAAGTCCAAAGTCCTACAGAAATCCCCCAAACAGCAGAAACTGAGCAGTGATAAACAATAAAACAAAAGTTTCTCCCACAGAAGAAGCAGAACCAGCAATCTAATGATGTACCAAACTACCTCACATGTAAAAATCATGATCTCATTTTGTATTATGGTTCATTGCCATTATTATTTTTGTTACTTGTAAACCATTTGAAATGTATTATGATTTTAAATGTGTTATTCTCTATACCCGACTGAAAATCAAATCTCGTCTTAAGACTCAGTGCAGTTAAAAAAGGACAAGAGCGCAGGGGAAACGGGACTGGCACAGGGCTTTAGTCCTATTAACAGAGCATCATGGTTATTCAAACCACCTCAGCTGTGTACCATTCAAATGACGAAAGCCATCTCACTCATCAGGGCTGTCTGGATGATTAAAGGCTGACCTGCTAATAAAGATGAAGGATGTGTTGTACTCTCATCAGCACTGCTGTAAATCAGGCACACACCTGCTGCTGTGGCATTATTGAGTTGGAACTGTGAAAGACTAGTGAAGATGAACAGCTCAGGCTTCTGTGTTTCTGTCTCCGTTCTCCTGAGGCTGAAGCTGCTCTTTCTCTATGCTGTCGTCCTGGGGTGGCCGCACACGTTTAAAGAAGCCCAACTGAGGAGAGAAATCAAGATGGAACCAGTCAATGATATTTGTATGCATAGTTCAATACCAAAACTTCCGTCATTGATACAAATACCATTGAAAATGAAGTAAACCACAAAAGAGACAGATTTTTTTTTTACATTTTACATAAAATAAATAACTATTGAATAGGCCATGGAAACGCAAGTGATAGTCACTGATTAGAGGCTAAAAATATAAAAATAATATTTTTAATATTTATAAAATTAGCAACACTAATTCTGACATCCATAGTCCATCAAACTCTCAATCAGTCTAAGTTATTTGACTAGTTTACAGCTGTTCACCTTATACATGACAAAGATGAGCAGAGCCAGGAGCAGAAGTCCGGCCAGGACAGCCAGAGCCACCACCCATCCTGGGACAGGCTGAGGGTTCTCTGAATTCCAGATCACCTTCAGAGAGGCCTGCAGGACAGAGATATGTGATAGTGACACTGACATGATCATACAACCCTCAGTCGTGATCAGTGAAGACAGTAAAAAAACACCATATATTCAGTGCACAAATGTGTTATTTGTTTTTGGTTATGATTTTTTTTCTTTGCTTTAAAAAGTCTCATAAATAGTGGTTAACCCTTCCACTCTTTCTGACCCAAGAAAATCCAAGAAAAAGATCAAAGTTATGTCCCCTTTACATTGATGATTATAGGAACTTACCGATGTTGTGCTGGCTGGGAGCTCAGAATACAGATTTTTATATGGCATCTCTATGACACTGAAGGATGCTGAGGAGCGAACATTGTACGATTTGTTTTGACTTTCAGCCTAAAAGGAAAGAAAACCACTACTGTGTTTTAAATGTATTAGTATTTGTGCAGTGAAAACAGGATGTTAAAGATCCCTATCCACCCACATTTGCTGCCATTGGTTTAGTGCCCTTCAACATTAACCCTCACTATGTGGATGCTGATCCCAACAGCAAGCATATGGGGGTACGTTCAAATGATCATGCACAACACCACAACTCCATTAAATAATATTATATGCATAAAATCACCCAAAAACATGTATTTTACATAAATTGATTGCCATGAAAAAAAATAATGAAACTTATCGAATATATCAAATATAATAAACCAACGTTTTCAGGTAGATCCTTCAGGCTTCATGAACGCAGATTTAATTTTGCATTTTACAGGAAACACGTGAACAGAGAATTGTCCAATACCACGAGGAGCCCGACACACCATGTGTGCTGGTATGTTAACATGTACAATACTGTTGGGGTCAGTGAGACAATTTAATGCTCAATATAGCTGCATTTATTTGATCAATATTACAGCAAAAACAGTAATATTCTGAAATTAAAAGAACGAACCGTTTTCTCTTTGCATATATTTTCAAATGTAATTTCCAGCAGTAGTTGAGCTCTACCACTATATGCTGTTCATGGCAGGGTCTTCGGGAAGGCTCAATGCTCATAGTGGAGGGAAGCAAAGCCACCTTATTAGGGAGCACCAAAGCACGACTGTTCCAGAGGTAATGCAGAGACTCTTGCTCACGTCGGAGTTATATTAAAAATTGTCCTGGCCCCTCCAAGCCTTTCAATGGGGGTAAGCGGGTGTTGGTTGTCAACAGTTCAGAAGATGTGAAATAAAGTGCGTGCATCCATAATGAAACGTCCCTCACACGGCTCCGGGGGGTGAATAAAAGTCTCCTGTAGCGAATCCATGCACTTTTGTAAGATATATATCCATATTTCAAACGTAATAAACACTTTTTTCTCACTTCCGCTGACTGTGGTACGCGGAAGACGTTCAGGCGGATGACGTAAGACGTATGCGTCGTGCGCGCACCTCTGAGAAATGCAGGAGCAAAGGAAACAAAGTTTCCTCACTTTAGCAAAGGAAAACCAGTCTTCTCTTGGCTTATATCGAAATCCTCTGACATTTTTCTTTACAAATCCTCGTTTTGTGCTTCTAATTCGTGAACGGCATTTTGTTTTGTCTCCGCGTTCGTCACTAATCACGCAACGCCAACGTCATCTGCCGGAACAGCTTCCGCGTACCACAGTCAGCGAAGTGAGAAAAAAAAAAGTGTTTATTACGTTTGAAATATGGATATATATCTTACAAAAGTGCATGGATTCGCTACAGGAGACCTTTATTCACCCCCCGGAGCCGTGTGAGGGACGTTTCATTACGGATGCACGCACTTTATTTCACGTCTTCTGAACTGTTGACAACCAACACCCGCTTATCCCCATTGAAAGGCTTGGAGGGGCCAGGACAATTTTCAATATAACTCCGACTAGATTCGTCTGAAAGAAGAAAGTCACATACACCTAGGATGCTTTGAGGGTGAGTAAAACACAGGCTAATTTTCATTTTTGGGTGAACTAACCCTTTAAGGCTTTGCAATGTCAGTCAAATTAATTGTTTTTACCTTGAGAAACGTGCTCACGGCGAGTCTGGAGTAAATAAATAGAATGGCACTCTGGCCTTTCTCCAGCCGGCCGACCCAACACTTAATCTCCTGACACTCCGCATTCCCACAATCCTGTGTGGATACACACAAACCATTGTACTTGCATGCATACTGGTGTAAAGGACAGTTCAATGACTCATACTGACTGCACCTACTGATGTGTAGAAGGGTAAAATGGTTCCCATAAAAAATGGTTTGATGGTTTGATAACCATAATAATAGTTCATATATTTTATATATATACACTACTGTTAAAAATCTGTGTTTGTGTTTCTCTCCTGCATTTCTGATTAAATAACTGTAGCCTTGGTGAGCATTAGAAATATCTTTCAAAAATATCAAACAAAAATTCCCTGAACAACTTTTGAACAGCGAAGTGTATACATTTCAAATTCAATATAAAACTGTTCCAGGTAATTCACAGACAATGGTGGTTGTCAAATGGCAACTGTTAAAGCTGTGAACATACCAGAATCTCCAGGTTCTCTTCCCCTTGTTTGTCCTCTAGGTCTCTGCGGTGGACGCTTAAATAGAATGGCACTCTGGCCTTTCTCCAGCCGGCCGACCCAACACTTAATCTCCTGACACTCCGCATTCCCACAATCCTGTGTGGATACACACAAACCATTGTACTTGCATGCATACTGGTGTAAAGGACAGTTCAATGACTCATACTGACTGCACCTACTGATGTGTAGAAGGGTAAAATGGTTCCCATAAAAAATGGTTTGATGGTTTGATAACCATAATAATAGTTCATATATTTTATATATATACACTACTGTTAAAAATCTGTGTTTGTGTTTCTCTCCTGCATTTCTGATTAAATAACTGTAGCCTTGGTGAGCATTAGAAATGTCTTTCAAAAATATCAAACAAAAATTCCCTGAACAACTTTTGAACAGCGAAATGTATACATTTCAAATTCAATATAAAACTGTTCCAGGTAATTCACAGACAATGGTGGTTGTCAAATGGCAACTGTTAAAGCTGTGAACATACCAGAATCTCCAGGTTCTCTTCCCCTTGTTTGTCCTCTAGGTCTCTGCGGTGGACGCGGTGTCTGTTCCTCCCCTCAGCTCTGTCTCCGCTGGCAGAGGTCTCATTTTTGTCAATAAATCTGGGATTCTAGGTGAAAGCAAAAGCATAGGTTTATCCCTGGAATATTAGATGAGTTCCTAATTTCAACCAATTTCTGAACAAACAAAGGTTTTAACCATCCATGCAACTAATTTGTCTGTCCACACTGTAAAAAAAATCCCATTTGTTGGATGTTACAAAATGTCACAGCCAGTCAGAACATAGAAGATATTTAACATACAGCTTGTGTGGAGTGGGGTTACACCGGTTATTAACAACGTATGTATACTTGATTGTGGGATACATACAGTGACATTAAGCGGGTTGAGCTCCCTGTTTGAGCTGCAATTCATGTTTCCGTCCACTTCAAACTTGGTGATGTAGAGCAGAGAGCCATTGTTGAATCTGTATGGCCACTGCACATCTAAAATGGCCTTACTGAAAGTACTGGGTCCTGTGTTCCTTAGCTAGTAAGATAAGTGATTACAGCAGCAAAAAAAATAATTAATGAAATTATGCACTGCTGAAGTTTAATAAATGTATAATGTCTTTGACCAATGATCTTTACTGCATTTTTTTACCTCATAGATGTGCTGTACAAGAGGTCCAATATCATCCTCCAGAACAGGATTCTCTTTTGGCTGCCAGTTAGCGATGGGTAAAAACACCTGCTCTGGCGCAGACACCCTACACAGGATAGAGCAAAAGAATACACAGTGAAGATCGTGTCTAGTAACAGCCAATTATAATGCTCAAGTTCTTTTTTTTTTTTTTCATCATTCAGGTTTTTATTGACATGCTTAATCCATACTGGATCATTTTCACTTTCTTAATTCACATTCTTGGTCATATTGTGCAAGTCATTCTAAAAAAAGTTTGCCCTCTTAATCTAAATGTCATAACTTGTTGCAACTTAAAAGTAAAATGTGTTCTAAATGGTTCTAAATTTTAAATCTGTTTACAGAATACATGTCACACAATTTTAACAGAAATATGATTTAAATGATCATACCCTCTTAATTTCACTTTGGCCAGCACAGCAAGCTTTGTGACAACAGAGACCAAATTGCTGGTATTGTTGAACTGATTTGAGCTGGAAGCAGAAGGGAATTATTCATTTCCAATAGGTGGTGCTGTTGTTTTAAAAACTGATACATTTCATTAAATTACAGACAACGTGATAAAATATTACTATGGACCACTCTTTATGTTTCAGAAATGCACTACAAATCATTGTGGTAAAGACAGGCGAAGACATGAGGGTGTAAGGAAAGAGTGAGAGACAAAAAGCAAACCAGGATGTTCTCACAGAGACACAAAAAATAGCAGTTCCCTGTAATTAACGACACTAAAAAAACCACTGGCAGTCAGCAGGAAACTGTAGCATTAGAAGCAAATGCTGTCTGAAGTTTTACTGATTTAAATAAAAAGACAGGAAGTGAAACTATACATTTAGGGTGTCTTTGCTTTACATTTGTTCTAATGGCCCTCCTTGGGCTACTGATGGCTCACCAAACTCCATTTAATTAACATTGCACAAGCAAATCTATCAACTATATTATTGTAATAGCAAGCATTAATTCAAATACCTCTGTATCTGCAAGTCAAACTTGACTTCTGTATCCTGTTCAGAGAGCTGGTGCACACTGAAGCGCAATCCTGCTATTATCTACACAAACAACGCCATTTTACAGAAAAATATGAAAGGAAATGGCTCATTTATGTTACAATAAGCAACATTACATTTTTTTTTTACTTCTGGTACAAATAAATATGCAGACACTTTAGTGAGGAAAGTCTGTTGGTCACCTTAGTTCCTCCTTTCATTGGGTTCCCAAGATCACAAACCACCACTCTGGTCTGATTCTCTTTCTTGAAGGCACAGGACAGTCTAGACAATGTCTGAGATACAGAAATAACATATGGACCTTCAAACAATTCTAAATGATGTCACAGAACAGCATAGAAATATTACTGATAAATAAAAGTACTTTTGACTTGTCCCAAAATTTGTAAAAACACTAAATTACACTAAATGGTCTTAATGAGGCAATGCGGTTATGCGTTATTTTAAGGTGTCTATGATCCAGTGTAATTATATATTTAAGTTCTGAGTATTGTTAATTAACTACATGTACTTAACTGTATGGTTAGGGTTAGGATTAGGGTTTGGATTAGCATTGCATGTTACTTGCATGTAATTATGCATAATTTGTTGTTATTATAATAGTAAGTACATGTAGTTTGTGACAAGGTCACTGTAAAATAAAGAGTTACCGGCAATGCTTTCCAAAGCAATGTTCAGCTTGTATTTTTTTTTTTTAAAGTGCTTATAAATCTTCCTTTAGGTGATCTGACTACTGTCCAAAGAAACTTTTGCTTGTGATTGCAAATGGAGCGACAAGTTACCAGTAAGATTACCAGTTTAATTGTTATTAAACCTGGAACATCTGTTAAATCAGCTCTTTTAATACAACATTAATTGTCTCATTACAAGGAGGTCACAGTAGGGAGGACAGTGCACTTTATGAGGTGTAGATGGGTCACTGCTTACCTCACTGTTACGCACAACCCCAATGAAATCTGCCTGAGATGGTAGGGTGACGGTAAGGTCGGCCTCATATGCCCCCTCTCCTCCATTCTCTGCTGTGACCTCTAGGGTCAGGGGGTTATCGTCACCTATGTAGATCTCTTTCTGGTCACTGGAGCACAAAACAACATCAAAAGCACCAAGTTAATCTCCAGCTCCACACCACCAGACAAGGCAATGGAATTTAAGGCTGAGATGAACCAATGACTCACCTCACAACAGACAGTTTTAAGTCTGGCTTGCAAATATTGTCTTCACCACAATCCAGGAGAATGTGAGCCTGGAAAGTCACAAGGGATTATAGCAAAATAAAGTGAGTTTTTATTTTTATCCAATGCCGTTTAATGTTAACCGTTTGTGTAAATCAGCATGTAAGTCTTTGGTTAGTAGAAGATTTGATCTTTTGAGCAGCTTCTGCACAAAGTCTCATTCAGGGTTCCCACACTTTAAGACCAATTCATTCTTACGGTTTTCCAGTAGTTAGAAAATACTATAAAACTAAAAAAAAAAAAAAAAAGAGTCAAATAATTAAAGTTAATTAAAAAAATGAATTATTTAGACCAATTTGCAAAATCGGCTCCACCAATTCCTTGAAAGTTTTCTCACAATGAAAAATATTTCAGAACACTGCATTAAAAAAAGACTTATTAGGATTTTAATTATTTCCATGGCTTTTCTAAATGTAGAAAACATTTTAAAATTCCCTGCTACTTTTAGTTTGTCCATGTCCATGGGAAAAGATTTTAACTCTACCATGTCAGCCATGTATGCAGTATAAACCACGTTCATCTGTTCCATTGTCATCCTTTCCTACAGACGCAGAGATCTTTCCGGAATACACGAAAGATGCAACTCAGCCCATGACAGCCCCACCCAATGAGGAAACAGAGTGCTCATTCACCACCGCTCAAAAATCTGAGGTCAGGACGATTTTTCTTTGAAAGAAATGTATACTTATCTATTAAACTGATGTATTAAATTCATAAAAAAATATCAATAAAGACTAGATTTTATGATTTGTTATGATACAGAAGATTTCTATTTCAAATATTAGTTGTTCCTTTTTTTGGTTTTCACAAAAATATTAAGCAGTTTTTTTTAACACTGATAATGTTTCTTAAACATCAAATCAGCATATTAGAATGATTTCTGAAGGATCATGTGACACTGAAGACTGGAGTAATAATGCTGAGAATTCAGCTTTACCATCACAGGAATAAATTACATTTCAAAATATATTAAAATAGAAAACAGTTATTTTGAATTGTAATAATATTATATAATATACTGTTATTTCCTGTATTTTTAAATCACACAAATGCAGCATAGGTGAGCATAAGAGAATTCTTTCAAAATTACAAAAAAAAAAATCTTACTGACCCCAAACTTCTGAAAAGCAGTGTATATGTAGTGCCCCTGTAACCAGAGATCTAGTGTGGGAAACAGCTGTACCTGCTTGGTGACATTTGTAGGTGTAGACTGGTCAAGGATGGGCAACAGGCCGGTCTTATCTGCTGCTGCTTTGTAATTCAAGCTGTACTCCATAAAAACAGAAATGGGTGTGATCTTATCCCTAAATTCAGAGTCATCCTGTTAAGAGAGAGAGAGAGAGAGAGAGAGAGAGAGAGAGAGAGAGAGAGAGAGAGAGAGAAGGGGGGGGAGAGAGAGATGGG